AGTGTTACACTCCTGCATTTTTTTTCTAAAAATCTATTAAGAATGTGCCAATCTGTATGACAAAACTTCGTCTCTGACTGTGGAGAACACTCACTCAAATAATAATAATTGTTCTTCAGCTACTACTTTAACTTTTCTAGCTGGTTTCTCCCCATTTTCTTTTTAATTTTCTTTTTCTTCTTTACTGTGTGTGTGTGTGTGTGGACATGGTGACTTTCTGTGTAACACTCAGGCTATCTTTGAACTAATGATTCCGCCATGATTACAGGGATTACAGGTGCACCTCCATTCCTGGCCTGCCAGTTCCTCTTTGTTGGTTACGGTTGCATGCGGAGCAGTTATATAGAAAGCAGGAATACAAGTGGAGCTGGACAGGTGGAGATGCTTGAGGTTCCACACATTTAGGTCTGAGCAGAACACTATTGTGAATTTATAGTAAATGACACACAGTTAAGATGTACTTTGGAAGTAAGATATAAGTATGGCTTAAAGTGTTGCCTCTCTTTCCTGGAGGTGATAACCAAGTATAGTCCAGGCTGAGATTTTTACATCTTTTTTGAAGGCTATAATTCTATTGATTCTGTTTTTACAGCTCTGTTTACATGGATGGAATGTTCCCCATATAAGATGCTAGGGACTAGTGTTCAGATCTCACTGTTTCGATTTGGATATATATGCGACCTTTAAGTTGAACATTCCTAGTCAAAGCATCTGAAATCCAAAGGGCTCCAGAATCTGAAATGTTTGACCATCCCTGTTGTTTAAATCTTCCTTTTATTATATCCTTTTTCTTTGACTAATATTTTGCTGCCACCCAATCTTTCTCATTTTCCATCAGAATTTTTTTACTTCTGTGTTTGGCAACTGCATCTTATGCTCCAGGCTGTCAGTGATCCTTACCTGTATCTCACTACTGCATTATATTATTGAATTGCATTGCAAAATTATGGCATCAAATTTCCTTATATGTTATTCTGTTGTTTGTTTATTAAAGCTGTTTTCAGGTAAAATCCAGGCTTTTTATCCTTTATGAATTTCTTCCAGTTGCCGGTCAATCTACTCAAAGTCCACAGAACACTGAAGCAGTGCTGCTGACTGCACAGATCTTCCCACTAAGCTCTGCTTGGACTTCTTCATCTTTGCAGCTTTTTAAAAAAACTTTTTTGTATTCTTCATACTGTGAATATCTTGTCTTATGGAGTAGATGGTTGCTGTGGAAACTGAACCCAGGACCCAGGGTTTGCCACTATTCCCGTCGACCATTGAGCCGTATTCCCAGCTTGTTCTTCTGTTTCTGCATCTCTTTAATGTGGAGCTTGTACTAAACCATCATGAATGTAACTACTATGTCATAATTAATTTTAAATTATGTATTTGTCTTTCTAACTTTAGGTGGTAAATTCCTAAAGGGCAATGAACTCTTCTCTTTTTTGCCCCCTTTCCTCCATTCTGGGTGGTCCTTATCTTCTTCCCACACTCCCCTTTTTCTTGTAGTTGCTGAGTCATCACTGGTACCCTGTGGTGTCGAAGGATAAGTCCATGTTAAGTACTGTATGGTTGCTATGCCCAAGAAGTGGTACATAGCACAGGTATTCACAATCACAAAAACAGTCACACAATCCCAACCAGCTGAAGAAAAGGGACATGAGCTCTAGAGATTGCTCAACAGCTAGTGAAGGGGACAATCAGCAGCTAGTGCAGGGGACAGTCAACAGCTAGTGTAGGACACAGTCAACAGCTATTGTAGCATACAGTCAACAGTTATAACAGGGTACAGTCAGCAGCTAGTGTAGGATACAGTCAACAGCTAGTGTAGGATGCAGTCAACAGCTAGTACAGGGGACAGTCAGCAGCTAGTACAGGAAACAGTCAGCAGCTAGTGTAGGATACGGTGAGCAGCTAGTGAAGGATACAGTCAACAGCTAATGCAGGATGCAGTCAACAGTTAGAACAGGGTAGTCAACAGCTAGTGTAGAATACAGTCAACAGTTAGAACAGGGGACAGTCAACAGCTAGTGTAGGGGACAGTCAACAGCTAGTGCAGGATACAGTCAACAGCTAGTGCAGGGGACAGTCAACAGCTAGTGTAGGATATGGTGAGCAGCTAGTGAAGGATACAGTCAACAGCTAGTGCAGGGGTCAGTCAACAGCTAGTATAGGATACAGTCAGCAGCTAGTGCAGGATACAGTCGGCAGCTAGTGCAGGATACAGTCAGCAGCTAGTGTAGGATACAGTCAACATCTCATATAGGATACAGTCAACAGCTAATGCAGGGTGCAGTCAACAGCTAGTGCAGGGTACAGTCAACAGCTAGTGTAGGATACAGTCAACATCTCATATAGGATACAGTCAACAGCTAATGCAGGGTGCAGTCAACAGCTAATGCAGGGTGCAGTCAACAGCTAGTGCAGGGTGCAGTCAACAGCTAGTGTAGGGTACAGTCAGCAGCTAGTGTAGGGTACAGTCAGCAGCTAGTGCAGATGACTATAGAGCTGCTTGCATGGATGATTAGACTTTTGTGTATTTGTCAATAGAGCATAATATTATCTGATGATGAATTTAACTGTGATAAAGAATTAATTGTGAAACGATGGTAAGAGTCTTACTGTTGTTTTTTCTTGATAGTTCTTTCTTTCTTTTTTTTCTGGGGTTTTTTTTTGGTTTTTTTTAAAGATAGGGTATGTAGCTTTGGAGCCTGTCCTGGTACTCACTCTGCTCAAACTCAGAGATCTGCCTGTCTCTGCCTCCCAAGTGCTGGAATTAAAGGCATGTACCACCATTACCCAGCGATAGTGTTTTCTTATTCAACAGTTTTTTCAAGTAATTTGTTACCATGTTAAAGCCCTTTCCAAGTGTCTTTAATTTCTCCATCACTGGTTGTTTTGTCTGAATGTATTTTTGTGTTTTATTAGTCTTTATTAAAATAATCAAAGTTGTTTTCTTCTGATCATATACACTGGCTAATAAATTATGAACATTGTGTTTTGATCCCATGTGTTTCCCTTCTGCTGTCTCTCATGCTCTTCTCCTGGAAGAAGAGTTTAGGTCTGCTCAAGGCTGATGAGATGGCTTAGCTAATACAGGCCCTTGCTGCCAGGGTTGACGGGCCTGACTTCCATCCTTGGGACCCACATGATAGAAGGAAAGAGAGAGCTGACTCCACAAGTTGTTCCTGACCTCCACATGTGTACTCACACACACCCATAGACATACACACACCCCCATAGACACAGACAGACACAGACGCACACGCATGTACACACACACACACACAGACACAATATGCACGTACAGATAGACAGACATACACACACAGCCACAATTTTCAAATGTAATTAAAAAGTAAAATTAAAAAGAGTTCAAGTCTGTTCTGATGGATGTTTTTTTGTTTATCAAAGTATACAACTTATAAAATAATAGAGAACGTAGTCACTTCTTAGCTCTGTGAGGGAAGTAAGGAAAGAGACAGCAGCCAACACGAGGCGGGAGTTAGTTACGTTGTACGTGACTTACTAACGTAAGACAACAGAGCAGGGTTATGTAAAAGTCACAAGGTACTTCATTTTTTTTTTTGCCATCAGTTACTAGGAGTAATTAAATTAAATTATTTGACAGTGCTAAAATAAGTTTATTTTTACCTATAATCATTAATCTGCTTTAAATATGTAAAAATTTTTATTACTTAATGCCCATTTTTTTGAAAGTAATTTTATTAAATTATAAAAGTTTCCATTTATGCCCCTCTTCCCAACACCCTTCCACTCCCCCCCCCTCCTCCTCCCTCTTTGTCCCTAAGGGCAGTCAGGGTTTCCAGCCCTGTGGGAAGTTCAAGTTCCTCCCCCCTCCCTCCAGGTCCAGGAAGGTGAGTATCCAAACAGACTGGATCCCAAAAATCCAGTATATGCAGAGGAAACTAGTCCCAGTGTCATTGTCAATGGCTTCTCAGAAAGACTCCGGGCCAGCCACATTCAGAGAATCCGGCCACATTCAGAGAATCTGGTTGGATCACGTGCTCGTTCAGTCGCAGTCCAACTGCCCTTGGTAAACTCTCATTAGATCCGACCCCTTGTATCAGTGGGTGATAGCATCCCTCGCAGTCCTTCGTCATTTTCTTCGTCCTTCTGCTCCTCATTTGGACCTTGGGGGGCTCAGTCCGGTACTCCAATGTGGGTCTCCGTCTTTATCGCCATCCATCGCCAGATGAAGGATCTATGGTGATAAGCAAAATATTCATCAGTATGGTTATGGGCCAAGGCCGGTTCAGGGACCCTCTCCTCTGTCCAGAGAACAATCTGGGGATCTCTCCTTGGACCTGGGATCCCATATATAATCAAGTTTCCTGTAAACCCTAAAATGACTCCCTTAGTTGAAATATATTCTTCCCTGATTCTATATTCATCCTTCCTCCCTTCCCCCCATCCCAGTCAACCGAGCTTTCTCCATTCCTCCCCTACTCCCTTCTCTCTAACCCTCTCCCCTTCCAACAACCCTCCCACACCCCCCCCATGCACCCAAGGTTACCTGGGACTCTTGACTATTTCCTACCTCCTGGCGGATAGCTAAATAATCTTCATCAGGATCGTCTTCTTATTTAGCTTCTCTAGGATCACGAATAATAGGCTCAAAGACCTTTAATTATGGTTAGAATCCACTTATGAGTGAATACATACCGTGTTCCTCTTTTTGGGTCTGGCTTACCTCACTCAGTAAAGCGTTTTCTATGTCCATCCATTTGCTTAATGCCCACTTTTAAGGTCATTTAACTTTATTAATAGGAGTATATTTTTGTATATATGCTTAGATTTTTTTAAAAATCAAGTGAACTCAAAAGTATTTTTTCTAAAGCAAACAAAATAATATCTTCATAGTTGACATATTAGTTATAAATAAAATAATTATTGAATCCTATGATACTGGTTACCAGTTACAGATGTTTTAATATTTGTTGACTATAATTGAGAAAAATCTGAATATATACCATTTAACTTTGCCTTTATAGCATCCTTTTATCAAGAATGCAAAGCCTGTGTCCATATTAAGAGAGCTGATCACAGAGGCCATGGAGATCAAAGCCAAACGGCACGAGGAGCAGCGGCAGCTGGAGGAGGAGGAGGAGAACTCGGTTCGTGATTGGGCTCAGAGTTCATACTGGAGAGCATCTGGGCCATTTTTAAGTGATTTTATTTTATTTCTTAAAAAAATTTATTGATAGCACCTACTAATTCATTACCTAAGTGAGGCGTTTATCAAAGACTCAAACTGTTTCTTTGCTGTCCTTTTTCTGACATTTTGAAAATCAGTGCTTAGTGGGATATAAGGTTGATACACAGGCCTTTATGGGGACATTTACCTTGAGTTTGGGCAGTTTGTGTCTTGCCACCCGTAACTTTCTCTTTCGTGACCCCAGTTATGCTATGAAAATAGTGAGTGCTAATGAATATATGGAGAAATGGATCCTTTATTCATTGAATGTAAAATGGCTCACACTGTGTAAAACAACTGGTAGTTTTCTAAGATATTACACTCAGAATTAGATGATCCAGTTCTACTTCTACATACATACAGATGACCAGTGTCCAACTATTTCAACCAGAACTGTGAGGGTCAGACCTAGGCTCTGGCAACCCTCTCAAGGTGGAGTACTTGTTTCTGGAGGCCAGTTAATAGGTGAGTGATCCTGCAAAGCAGAAAAAGGAGTTTGATTTAGAGTGACCACACTGGGAAGAAAACAAAGAGTTGCAGGAGGCAGCTGTTGCTCCTTCCTCAGCTGTCAATCAGTTCAAAGAGAGCATAATAACACACAGTATCCAGACTCTCTGTGTAGTTTTTATCTTTACATGGTTTTTTTTTTCCAACTCTATTTCTTTTATTTTTATTCTTTGGTTTTTTTGAGACTCAGTTTATCTGTGTATCTTTGGCTGTCCTGGCACTCACTCTATAGACCAGGTTGTCCCTGAACTCACAGAGATCCGCCTGCCTCTGCCTCCCAAGTGTTGGGATTAAAGGTGTGTGCCACCACATCCAACTACTCTCTTTTTTGTTTTAAGGACTTTATCCTTTTTTTCTCTCCCAAGCCTACATATATTTTTAAACACACTGCAAACTGTTGTTCAGAGGTTTTCTTCGTCTTTGAGTCTATCTTTACTGTATATCTCTTTTTCTGACCACATGAGTCTAGTAAACAGAGCCCACCCAAGAAAATGCTGCTACCAAGAAGCCATGCTTAACTCTGTTCTTTTGTGTCTAGAATTACTTTCCAAACTCTCTCAGGTTTCAAATGGATTTAGTTGTCCACTAAATATCCTGTCTCTAGGAATCCTCAGACCAAATGGGGTATCCCATCTCTAGGAATCCTCAGACCAAATGGGGTATCCCATCTCTAGGAATCCTCAGACCAAATCGGGTATCGCGTCTCTAGGAATCCTCAGACTGAATGCTTGAGCTCCTGTCTCCTCCCACCTTATATTCCTCTCTGCCTTCCCATATCCCTTCCTGTCTCCACCTCCCTAGTGCTGGGATTAAAGGCATGTAACTCCGAAATACTGGGATTAAAGGTGTGAGCTACCACCACCTGGTTTATCAAAGCACAAGTGGTAGGCTGACCCCTAGGGCCTATGGCCTCCTTAGTCAAGGGCTCCTGAGCAGGCTCACGGGACTGGCATGAGTTTTCTCCTGTGGAGTGGTTGGTCACCCCCAAAGAGTTACACCACTATTCTCAGTGTACGGCTCTTCTTGCCTGGCTCACAAGCTGCAGGGCTGGGGCGAGGTCTGTGGAGACCGTGGAAACCAGAGGGTAGAGGACGCTTCCAGCTTGATGTGTCTGACCTGTGGCCATAGTACGTGCCTTCTTCAGCAGTAAGAGCAATGGCAGCAGCCTGTTTTGTTTGGGAAACTTTGGAGCTTCCTTGGCCAACAGTTCATTTTGCAATATCCCATGTCTGTACTGGGGTTTTTGTTCAAGAGCCCATGGCTCCTGGGAGGAGCATTAATCAGTTCATTCTTGGAGGGTACCTCCATTCAAAATCTTTTATATTTATATGTATAGCCATATATATTAATTTCCTTTTCCTTTTTCCCCCTCTTTTAATGGGAAAGTAGTCAGCCCAGGAAGAACAGGACAAGAGAGAAGATGGAGGAGGGGTTAGGATGGAACACTCTGGCAGACATGCCCGTCCACGAGAGAACCTCAAATTTTAACTTGATGGGCCCATCTGAGCCCACCCCTAAATCCTGCAGTCACCCTATGGTTATATTTTTAGTAAGCTCGTGGCATAGTAAGCTTCCATGTGACTCTTTTGTTTATCCACAGTTTTGGTTGCCCTTCCTTCTTCCCACATCTTCCATAGCTTGATCCCCCACCCGTTTAGACCTTTCCACCCCTGGTGCCCCCCACTCTTCATGACTGATGTGTTCTGCTCTCCTGCTTCCCTCCCTCCAATGCCCTTTCTGTCATTCTGGCTCTTACCAGCACACAGTGTGAAGCACTGTGCTCTAAACTTCATAGCTAGGGTCGGGTCTGAGCGTGACTCACATGTATTCTAGAGACAACTTGTCTTGAGAGGTGCTGGAATTATTGTACAGATGTTTTTAAGTTAGTCAAATTACAAACCGCTTTCTGCAGTACTGACTTCTTCTCAGCATCAAAGCTGTTGTGCTAGAGCATCGCTAATGCTTACTGACAAATGCCTCTTTATTTTTTCCACTTCTCAGCAGGGTTAAAAATGTGTGTTACATAAGAATTTATTTCCTGCGTATTATAAAATATTAGCACATTTCTAGTGTGGGTAGATTAGCCTCCATGACTTGCCTATAGCAATTGCATCTGCCTTTTAAAGAGTCTGTATTAGCGGATTGACTCTTTTTAATGAATGTCAACTTTAAAATACATTTGACTGTTATCAAGGAGTACTGGGTGTAGAAGAGAGCAAATCTATATAAATGGCCCTGCCATATGAGCTTGAAATACAGAATAAAGGGTACTATTTCAAAATGTATATGCTTAAGTGATCTTGTTTTTAAACATACACGTATCAAATTTTACCAAGGATTCTCTAAATATTCTAATAAAAACTGTAAAAAGTTTGTTTTTAAAAATGAAATGAATAGTTCTTGTGCATTTAAAAATTAAATGCGTAACTTTTATCTCAGTATGATTTAATTTTGTCTAATGCAAAAATGATTCCCAGGTATATGTGACACTACATACAATAAGTAAACCATTTAGTGGGTGACTGACTGTGTCTCTGTATGTCTGAATCACCTGGTAACTTTTGGAAGCAATAGTGATGTGGACAATTGCTAGTATTTGCCTTTGGGAGATTTCTCACTTGTTTGTTTCAAGTCAGACTCCAAGACATCAGGGATGGTTAAAAGTTCTGTATTCAATGCTAATTAAGCCAATAAGACACCCCCCCCCACCATCCTGTGGGTTAACTAGCATTGACTTAGTGATGCCGCGTTCTCAGCAAATGTTTGTTTTTTCCATTTTTAATTAAGTTTTTTCTGTTTGCTTTGGTTTTTCGAGACAGGGTTTCTCTGTAGCTTTGGGGCCTCTCATGGAACTAACTCTTACAGAACAGGCTGGCCTTGAACTCACAGAGATCTGCCTGCCTCTGCCTCCTGAGTGTTGGGATTAAAGGCGTGAGCCACCACTCCCTGGCTTTAATTAAGTTTTTATTTTGATTAGTTTTGAATTTGCAAGAGTAATTGCAAAAACAGTAGTTTCCATGTACTTGAATTTAGGTTTTCTCTGTTACTAGCATCATCTTATATGGTACATTTGTCTAGTTACAGATTTAAACTAAAGTCTCTCTCCGCATCCCTTTGTTTTTCCTCTAACGTCCTCTGTCTGTTCAGGACTACCAGAAAACCACAGTGCCCTCAGCCGTCGTGTTTCCTTTGGCCCCTCTTGATGCCCCACAGTTTTCCAGGATGTTCTTGTTTTGATAATGTGAGCAGTTCCTTTGCTCTCTTCTACAATGAAAATGGAAGTCCTGGTTTTGAAAGATGTCCTAGAGAGAAAGGCTCATCAGAGCATATCAGGAGCACTTCCCGGAAGTCAGGGGAGATGGCCCAGTTGTTTAGAAAGTACATACATACTGCTTCTGCAGGGAGTGGGGGATGACACCCACATTTGATATGGTGGGTGACTCCCAACTGCCTGCAGCTCTTAACTCCAGGGAATCCCGTGTCCTCTTCTTGCCTGTTCGAGTGCATGTACTCACCTGTGAATACTTGCACATAGACACACATACGTGTACAATTAAAAATAAAGCAAATTTTTTTAAAGAATGCTTTCAGTCAACATGATTTATCATTATTGGTGTTAACTACAATTACCTGGTTGACACAGTGTTTGGCAGATTTTTAATAGTAGAATTGCTCTCTTTCCTTTTTCCATAATTTACTCCTCGGAAGTCAGGTGGGGTACATAGCACACCTCACAGAATGCAGAGTTGTGCTCCCTATTTATTTATTTGTATCAATATTGATTTGTGGTTATATTTTATTTTAGTTAAAATGTAATTGCATCATTTCTTTTATTCCCTCTAGCATCTCCACTTCCTCCACCACCTATCATTCCTTTCAAGTTCATATTCTCTCTTTTTTGTTGGTACCCCGACACACACACACACACACACACACACACACACACACACACACACCCCTCTGTACAAATACAGCTTACATGCAAATGTACCTCTCACTATAAGTGTCTAGTTTCTCTCTTTCTCAGGGATAAAGAATGTATCTTAGCATACTGACTGACACATAGTGTTAACTACACAAATATTTATGAATCACTGTATATATGTACTTTATAACAGTTTTCTTGTGGTTTAGGATAGGTCTACAAAATGATCATCACCACAGAATATATAGGTCCAACTATAATAATATCACAGTCATTTATAATAGTCTCAAATATCTTAGTTAAAATTTACCAATGGATACCAATCTATTTCTGATAAAGATACCAAGTTAACATAATAATAGCCTGTTTTATGAACCGCTTAATGAAATTTTAGTCTTTTGTCTGTGGTGCCCTCTTGTGGACAATTTATAAATTGCTTGTAGCAGGACAATAGTCTTCAAATTGTTATAAAATAATCTGATTTTTAA